AAAGATCCTTTGAACAGTTCATGCAGGTGATTTTTCAATTTTTTTTAAGATTCAACTTTCATTAGGCCTATATATAAAAATACATACATCATAGGCGCTTGGTTTCAGGATGATGTATTTTGTGTATTATGTGTTTTTAGCTCACCTGAGCCGAATGTCAGACTGCTCGGCCCAACGATACCTCGGCTCCGACGGCTCGGCCCAAATTTGCAGACACCTCGGCTTTTTTTGGGGGGGGGTGTTTTTTTTTTGGTTTGTTTTTTGTTTTGTTTTTTTATACCAGTAATAGAAAAAAAATATACTCATTGATATATGAGAAAGCAATATGTATCCATTATAATGAAATTATTAGAATCAAGGTCTATGAAATAAAAAAGTCTGATAAAAAATAATAAAAATGTGCATGTTGCATATGTGAATCCTTGTACAGTTGGCATTGTAACATTATTGTGAGAATATTATTCACACCTCAGCTAGCTCTGTTTTGTACTGGGATAGACAGGCACCGCTGTGTGTGTACATGCAGCACTACATGTATATACACAGCTGTTGACATTTGGTCAACTTGATAATGAACATCTTTTGTTTAAACACCTGTGTTCCCAGCTAGTCTGACCAACACCCCTCTGGCAGGGCATGTGTATATACATTGAACCTTTACTATTCTCAATTGTACAGTTATGCTTTACAGAATTTCATTTTAAGGACATTAGCACACACATAAGGAAAATATGAAGGAGATGGGTGAACTTAGCGTGCAGAAAGCCCATTAGCTTCATATATATAAAAATCAATGAAACATCTTCTCACAAGGATTATGAAGTATGAAAGCCACAGCTCTTTTTCTTTGCAAAAGTTATGGCCAAGAATAATTTTTTTCATAAGTACAGAAATTTCCAAGGTCGAGGTCGAAAGGTCAAAATTGTAGGTATCAAATGAAAGGTCTTATAACAAAAAATACATGTGACAAGTATAAATGTTCTGGTGTCTACTGTTCAAAAGATATGGCCAAAGTAAAAGTTTGGAATTTTTTGGTGCAAAAGTGGGTCAACCTTAAAGGTCAAGGCCAAATTTGGTGGTACCCAAAGAAAGATCTTGTCACAAGGAATATACAGTAACATGTGAAATATGAATGTCATAGCTCATAAATCAAAAGTTACAGGCAAGGTGAAAGTGTTTATGAACAAATAGACAGTGATACAAACAGACAGAGAGACAGCTCGACAGAATGAAGGACACGACAGATACTATAATCCCCCGAAACTTCGTTTACGGGGGCATAAAAATTTTGGCAAGTATTTTACATCGTTACACTACATGCTATTTCGATTCATTAGATCTAGTACTTTCAGTGCTTTGATCTTAGCTATAATATCGGGATCGGCATTTCGGTTTGTGTACACCACACGAAGGAGGTACCTCTGTCCATTTGGCATCAATTGAACGGTAATTCGGGTAAACAAAGATAAACAAAAGTTGGGTTGCATTTTTGATGGCTCAAAGTACATGTATTTTTAAAAAAATATATGTACTTTTTGCAATCAAAAATGCAACCCAATTCATAGAAAAGTATAACATTGCAGCTGTTGACTTGAATACTTTTCAGCAAAAGATGAATTTCCATTGTTTGAGTAACCGTGAACTATTTTGTGTGCAGTGAGGCGTGGATAAGTATGACTGCTTCTCATTGTGTTGGACTGTTACTAGTTAGAATAATCTAACTGTGTCTCGGTACAGGCCCTCACCACAACCGGGTCCGTAGGACAATATCATTTTAACGATAGAACATTCTATCTAGACTGTTACATGTACAGTGGCATGCCAAAAGTGAAGATAATTTTATTTTTTCTCTATATATTTCATTAAAAACAACATTTTGTTAAATCATAGGTAAATGGTCAATTTTTGTCCAATTTAATTATTTATTTCAGTACTTAAACCAGAAAATGTGTAGTTATCTTTCTTCAAAAGATCATTACACGTTTAATTTATAGTAAAATATAGTTCATCACTAAACATCAGTTCTAAAATTCAAGATCAATGTTGACTATATAATTCATTGTGAGAATATGACTTAAAAAATCATGTCACACTTAAATTACAATATTTTTAAATTATCAATGCTTCTCAGATAAAAACTATTGTTTTTTTTTAACTACAACAATTTCTTAGATTATCAAGAAATTTTTGGTAAAATCTGTCAAGAAATGTTGTCATACCAGCGATTTTACAAAATATTGTTTTCAATGAAATATATAAAGAAAAAATAAAATCATCTTCACTTTTGGCACACAACTGTACCAATCAATTATCCTGTTGGTTATAACTGACCTCCTTTTTAATTTCATTCAAGAAAATGAAATAACTGTGTCGTTACTCATCATGATCAATAGCCCCAAAATAAAATTTGAGTACAAAGTCTCCTAAGGAGACACGATGTGGCGAGTGAGTTTTACATGCAATGTATTCATATATTCTTGTATGCAAAGTCAAGATTTCAAAGTTGAATATTTCCACTGCACCAAGGTGCGACTTTTTGCACATGCTGAAAAAATATAGCATTTGAGGAAAAAGTGTGAAAAAATAGCTTAATCATGCCATTCGGAATAGCTTTATTAAGCTATATACAGGTGTCTCATTATATCGTGGTATTTAAATCTTTTGTGTAAAAAAGCGTAATTAGATTTTTAAAATTTATCTTTCATCAAATGATATTAATAAAGCAAACTATGGCCTGACTTTTTAGTATCAAACTATAGAGCTGAAACGAATACCATAAATCAACATTCGAATATTCGTGACTGTTATTCGATTCGTATTGGAACATTCGGTAATTAAATAAAAGAGTTATTATGCCTTTTCATATACCTGCAAATCCTATTGTTTATTTCTTTATATCAGTGTATAAGATAGGTGTAAGGAATAAACGTCTGCTCCAAGCCGTTTGACATGTAAATATGCATTAGGACTCGCATTGATTTTCAAGAAAAAAATAAAAAAAGAATCTTTATCAACAATTATAAGCCTTTTTTCTTCTTTAAATTAGGCTTCTTTAAATTAGGCGACTGTATTGCATTCCAATTACGACACCCGATCAGCAAACCAGCAGGTCTCGCCATGTTTTTCTGTTATAAAAATAAAAAAAAAATTTGTTTCCGGAAGCGTCCTGTGAATTTTTTAATCAATATTTAGATTATAAAAAAATATATCGGTAATATAATGTATATTTTTCATATATGATTTCTGCAATTATTTATAAATTATAAATCTGAGCAATCGATTCCTTTTGTTGATCCGGAATATTTCTCTCCGCACAACATAAATTTGTTATTACTTTCGAAAATCATGGCAGTCAATGTCACCCATATCTAAATTAATTCAGAAACACATGAGGTTGCTGAATATTTGGCATGAAGATGATTAAATAAATCTGACATCGTGTCTTTATCAGGCCTATAGTACCACGTGGGCAAAGTTTACAACCTGTCTTATACACGTTCTTGCTTTAGTTTGCTTCTTTTTCCACAGAGATAAAAAAAAGTGGATAGGCCTACACCATTTATTGCTTGAAATACGTTGTATTAAATATGTGACCGAATATTCGAATACAAATTTTCCATTCGAATATTCGTGAAAAACTATTCGTTCACGAATGTTCGAACATTCGTTTCAGCTCTATCAAACTATTTCCCAAGCTTGCATCGTCTAAGTTGTGGTCTATTTTCAAAACAGGAAGTCTCATTTACCTCCTGAATTGGAGAGTCTCATAGTATCGCGGTATGGGAATTCAGAGAAACAATTTAATTTCTGAGTTAGAACTATAACAGAATGAATTAAAAATTGTGAAAAACAGATTGCAAGTGTGAAAGGGCAAAAGAAAATTTGGCGAAAAGAAACCCGCATACAGTGATGTGTTTTTGGTTCATGAAAATGTTGAATGTAATCATAATAATTTATGTAGACTTAATGATATATTTATTCTGTTACAGGTTAGGACAACAATTAGGTCATGATGTCAGAGGTCAGAAGCTGGCATGTACCTTGTCATGAATATCCACTATCTGATGAAGAAAAAACAGGTATGTATTGATCGTATGTTGTTTTACTTTTCGTCCCATTCGTCGAAATTGTTTACTTCCTCGAATAAAAGAGTTCCTATAGCCTGTTTTTACCCTATATGATTCTGAACCAAGTCTTTTGTGGCTATTGAAAATCACATAGGGTAAAAACAGACTATAGGAACTCTTTTATTAGAGGAGGTAAACAATTTCGTCACTGGAGCCATATTTTGAACGCAGATTTCAATGAATATTTTTATGTTGGGATTTACATGCCTGAACAGTAAGCTATGTAGAAATAATAGTGACAGAGAGTCAAATAAACACTTAAATGACTTGATTGAAGCATACAGCAGTGTGGTCTAGGTGAATAATTCTTGCTATAGGCGACTAAAGTTGGGACTTAATTTCCAGATGTGAATTATTAATGGTCGTCCAGGGATTCTGTGACAGCGTCAGTCCAAATATCTAGCCTAGCAGAATCTCTACAGGGAATAGGGGCTCAAACAATTGTTTATTTTTCAGAAGAATAATACTCCCTACCCCACGATTGCCAGTATAAAAAGTTAAAGTTGGTTATATAATGAAGGAAAATCAGCATGTTGACCTCCAATATGGTGGCTAGTGGGAAATAACTCTTGTAAATTTTGGTCTACTGAAAACTATCTATACAGCTGATACAAATTCTCAAGCAGGACCTTAAACAACTCACAATTGATCAATCATGTTAAAAATAGAATATGCTCTATAGAGACTTTTGATTTGAAATGCAAAATAAGGTGCACGATGATGTGTGATGCACAGTTAAAAGCTTCGAAAAGTATTGCAGTTTGGACATTTAATCAATTATATGTTATGGAAAATTGAATGTCAATTTCATTGATATTGTATAAAGGCTGAAAATTTATGATAAATTGAGTCTCTTTTCTTGTTCAATTGTAGAAAAGGAAGAGACAGTGGGGAATTCTCACCCTGAAAATGAGAAAGAAGAAAATCAGGAAAATATAAAGGTAAAAATTGTTTTTTGTTAAAAATTTTTGAAACACATCCTGTAGAAGCATATTCTTCTGTTGGGATGGAATTTGATTTGTTATCTAAAATAGTTTCATAGGCATTTAATTTTGAGGTTTTGAAAATAACACTATGATTCAAAATCATGTGTTTCTTTTAAGTCATCTGTAGCATACAGAAAAATACATAAAGAAACTGTAAATGTAGCAAAGATATGACAATTAAACTGCACAGTAAAGCAAGAAAAGACTGCACAATATAAGTGCCAGAAAAACAAAGGTTGTATTCATAAGTTTCTTGTATGTCAAGGTCTTGCCCCCCTTTTTTTTTAGCTCAAACTTGTAAACAAAATTCAACTGGAGCAAGGTGAGAGATATGCTTTAACAACTTTTTAAAATGATTACATCCGAATTTTTGGTCTATTTTTAGTAATTCCTAATTTACTAGGTACTTGTGACCATGGTAACCATGGTAACTTATTCAACTTTTCTGCACATACATACAATAGGGAAGAAGAAGTATATAGGAATATATTTTTTATGGGGCAGACTAAAATTATTTTTACTTTTATTTTTCTCCATAAAAATAAGTTTTTAGGTATTGAACAACGTTTACTTGGGTCATGAAAAACTACATTTGTCAATTTTCCCCTTTGTGCATCATGGTGTCTCTTTAAATCTGTTTAAAATTGTGAACAATAAAACTAACAAAATTTACCCCCCCCCCCCCTCCCCAGAAATATTTCTGCTTTTACAGTATTAACCTTTAGCCCATAGGGTTAGTATTAAGCTCAATTGAGCTGAGTTGTGAAGTTAGTTTATCAGATCACATTTTTTTCTGTCTTCTCTCTGTCTGTCTAGTTGAAAATCCTTTGACTTCTTCCCCAGAATCCCATATGCAATCTGAACAAAAGTTACCACAAAGCATCCTTTAGTAAAGGGAATGAAACATTGTGTAAATAAATGGAGAAAGGGCCATATCCCTCTTTCAATAGGAGTTAATAATGGGATTAGCGAAAATTAAAATATGTCTGCAACTTTTTGAAATATTATTACTGTATACAGGGTTATTTTCGCCCCGTGTTATTTTCGCCCTTTTGTGCATGCGGACAATTAAGCCCCGTTTTAAACTCGCTCAGTCATAGTTCTGTTTAAGAAATTATGCTGTATAATTTGAGTTCGCCCCGTTTTAAATTCGCCCAATCAAGAAGAGGATGAAAGGGGCGAAAATAAAACGGGGGCGAAAATTTCCCTGTATACAGTATCAAGAACCACAAGGTCCAAAAACTTATGTGAAACCTTAATATTTACATTAACATTTACATTAAATGTTTTCCTTTATATAACACTACTGAAAGGAATCTCTATAACTGAATCAATACAAGTACGGGGTCAAGAGGTCAAAGATGTGCGTTGGATAATCGTTTGACGTAATTTTCAGTGACATCATAAAGGGTCGACTTGTTCATTGGATTACATACTTGCCGTTGAGTTTGAAAAATAATGTATTTCAAACTCTTAAAGTCACAATCAGACAAATATAAAGCCCGAATAAGTCACAAATGTAAATATAAGTTATGAGATATCATTTTATAACATGTATTAGGATTTAAATACGTGTTGGTCACAAGATTAAATTCCATAAAGCCCGAAGGGCTTTTTGATGAATTTAAATCCGTTCCAACCCGTATTTATAGCCGACAGATGTTTAAAATGATAAAGGACGACATTATTTCTTAAATATCATAAAGTCATGTTTGTTGATATGACCCCTAGGGGTAGAGTAGGGTCAAATTGTTGGATGAAAAATTTACTGATGAATAACCTGTAAAACATCTCATGAGAAGCAAAACCATGATTAGTCATATTGATATATGGAAGTATCATCAGGTTGAATTTGTTGTTATCATGACACCTGTAAGCTACGAAATAACCAAATAATCCCTTCTCACTCAATCTCAGCAAACTGGAAAGGATTATACATTTTGCTCATCATTTTTGATGATGGATACCAATGGGTAGGTTGGAGTCACAGCAGGAATCAAAGCTTTACACACAGGCTAAAAATACAAAAAAATTGCTAATGAAAAACAATTACCATATTGGTCCATGGACCCATTGTTGGAAGTCTACTTATACCATTTAAGGTCCAAGTCAAAAGTCAAGGTAGTTACAATACTTAATCATTTATCGCTTAATCTGTCTTATGTAAGCATGCATGGTATTCAATTTGTCAGCATGGCTAGGTGTGTTATAGGATGGGCAACATCAACATTAATACAATGCTTAACTCCCTTCCCCGCAGTCATGCGTTTTAACGTATCCACCATTTCCTATTTCTAATGCAAAATCACGCATATACCGTTTCCCCGCAATCACGCATTTTCACCCACTTTAAAAAGTTCATTTAATCTTTAATAAAATGCCAATTTCCTTTTATTTGACACTTGTAAAAATCTCATAAAATAGGAAAAGTTATTTTTGTATTAAGATATAATGTCATAATATTATTTACGCTAAATTTGAAGAAACGTGTACCACACTATAAGGTGCTTGCGGGGAAATGGTAAATTTCTATTTCTATGACGTGAACATTAAGTGTATGTTGCAAAACAGATCAGAAAGTTGTAAAGAGTTAAGTAGCATCTGTAGAAAAAAAGCATTTCTAAACCACTTCAATCTAATTGACCATCTTAGGTCGCACATGCTCCTCAGAGTTGATTATTTTGGATTGTGGAATGCTCACAACATTTGTACAACGGAGTGCAGAAACAATGTTTTACCATTGTAAAACTATTGTTTGAAAATATGAGCAGGAAATTAGTAAATAATGATTTACATATAATATTTTGTTTGTAAAATGCTTGGAAACATGCATCATGGGAGAGTCCACCTTATGCAATTCAACTCATTTAGCCGATTGGTCAGTTTTTCAGTTACGGTGATGTCTCACTTAGCATATGTAAATTAAATCTGTATGAAAAGAATATAGTTTCTAGGACCTGTGAGATGTAGTTACAATAAATCTGCAATCTAAAATAACATACTTTCCTTTATTTAATTCTAATTAATTAACTACATGTACCTCATAAATGTTCATCTTATTTGAGAGTGAAGGGTGTTTAAACAGCTCAGTTAAAAGAATCTGAGTGAGATTTGTCGAGACTGAAAAAAATTGATGTGACATATACGCTGAATCTTAGATCAGTGCCTTATAAAGTGATTCAGGGAATCGTGTCCAAACTTCTACGTTGTAAAGGAACAGTTGCAACCCTTTTGATCGATTTTGGACAGTTCCGTTTGAACCCATGACCTTTGGATCATGGAGCAAGTGCTCTACTGACTGTTAATATGCTGGATATATTGACAGATGTCTAGAAATGTATGTGTTTTGTCCCTAATTTCATCAGTAAATGACACGGTATTGCACTATAACTGATTTGTTTGTTACACTTTCAGAGAAAAAAGGCAGCTTTTCCATCAAGATCGTATTCTCCAAGTGTGTCACAAACTCAAAGCAATGCTGAGAAGTTAAACCACTATAGTGCAAATGATAATCAAACTGAGATATTAGAAAGACACATCAGTATTCGTAGAAGTAAAAAGTCCATTAACTGTAACCACTGTGGCAAAATTTTCAGTTTTTCATGTCAATTACAGAGACACATGAGGGTACATACTGGAGATAAACCTTTCAAATGTGATGTGTGTCTGAAGGCATTCAGTCAGTTTTGTACCTTACAGATGCACATGAGGACACATACAGGTGATAAACCTTACAAATGTGATGTGTGTGAGAAAGCATTCAACCAGGCATGCCACCTAGAGGCTCATATGAGGATACATACAGGGGATAAACCTTTTAATTGTAACGTATGCAGACAGGCATTTGCTCTTTCGGGACATTTAAAGTATCATATGAGGACTCACACAGGTGATAAACCTTATACATGTGAGGTGTGTGGGAAGGCATTCCGCGACACAGGCACCTTAAATACACACAAGAGGACACATACAGGTGAAAAGCCATATAAATGTGATGTGTGTGGAAGACATTTCCCTCTACTGTCTAACTTTAAGAGACACATCAATAAACATACTGGTGAAAAGCCATATAAATGTGAATTGTGTAAAAAAGCATTTAGTGAAAAATCGAACTTGAAAAATCACATGAAGTTGCACACAAGTGATAAACCTTATAAGTGTGAAGATTGTGGAAAGGGATTCCTAGAATTAAGGTGCTTACAGAAACACAGGAAGATACACACACGTGTTAAACCTTAAGAGTGAAATTTATGGGGAGTTTCATTCAATTCCATACTTTCCGGAGTCACATAATTATGAATGAGATGTGCATGGAAAAACATCTTTTGTGCACATAGGGACTTAAAATTAGCAGTTGGTGGAAACAAAGATTTTAAATAAGTTATCAGGAAATTGATAATCATGCTATAAGCATGAAAAGCAAATTGAAATGTATAGATTTGAATATAAGGATGAAGATTATCAGACGTTGTGACTTTTCCTTCACCTATAGTGATTATCTTTGATTGGAATATTTGAATAATTAAAGATACAATGCAATCATTTTAATTTTCTTGTTTATAATTAATTAGCAGGAATTGGGGTAAAGTGATGATGCATAAAAAGGAATCATGAAAAATTAAAAAATTTAGCATGACTTGTGTTAATTTTTTCAATTTTTAAAAGAATTTGATTTCAAAAAAAAAAAATTATGGAGAAAAATATGAATGGACCAAAAAATTTGATTTGATCTTTTTCAAAAGTTGTTAGAACATATTTTCACTTTTGCATGCTCGAGTTGAATTTTGTTTACATATATTAGCTTAAAAAAGTGACGTGACCTTGATATACTTGACACAACGAAAAGGTAGATACAACCTTTGTTTTTTCCGCACTTATATTGTGCAGTCTTTTCTTGCAGTTTGATTGTCACATATTAGCTATATACTTATAATTCTACTCCATACAACAAGTTGCGTGAGGTATAATGTTTTTACCCGTCTGTCAGAGTGTGAGCTTGTCAGTCTGTCAGTTCTGTTATTTATTTTTTTTTGTCAGCGCAACCACTCATAAACCACTGTACAGAATTTCGTTAAACTGTGGCAGATACTTTGGCAGATATTTAAGACACAATGTGTAGATGTGCATATTGCCAGGAAATTCTGATTTCTTCATTTTTCCCGTCAATTTCCGCAATTTGTAACTTAGGGTTTTGACCATACCTTGTATATAGAGATAAACAGAACAACACAACTCTTTAAGCATGTTAAAAGTATTTCAAAGAGGACCATTCGATAATGTACGTAATATACCAAGTAGTTACATGTTAACTGGTATGGCAAAGATTCGGAGGAAGACGAGAATGCACAACTTACGTTTTTTGTTAAACGATATTGCAAAAGGTACACCCCTAAGGTATTTCTATGCTCAATTAAGTTTATGTTAACATTGCTTAAAACAAGATAGAGAAATATGAGTGTTTACTTAAAAAGATTTTTTAAAATGTTATTTTGTACGAATTATTTTAACAATCAAACCCAAGCCTTCATTTAAGTGAATTGATACAAATTGACAAAAGGCTTCATTAAGGGTGTACGGTTCAATTGAGTTTGATATAAAATACTGGTATTTTACAACACTTTTTTGTCAATTAATGATTCGAAAAATAAAAAAAACCAGTTATGCCAGCATGTACAATTTCAGCTGTTCTGAAAAAAATAAATTTTTATAGAAAAACAATAGAAAAACATGATTGATTATGCTTTTACTTCTGAAATACCACCAAAAATGTACTGAAATTACACCCTTGCAGTGAAAATACATTCAAGATTGTTCAAATCATGATCCACAATGAGGTCACAATGCTGAGCAGTTTTACATAAAAAATATTGTAAATATCTTTTATTATATTCTTAAGAACAGCAAAATCATGATTGGTCATAGGCAGTGAGTGCAGACTTAACTTTGTTCAAATCATGACCATGGTTTGATAGGTTGGAGCCATAATGCATGAGCAAAGTTTTACTTAGGAATATATTGGTCATATTTTAGTTGGACAGCTTGGGGTGAGGAGCCACAATGCAAGTTCAAATGTAAATAGCAATAAAAACACAACTAGTCAAAGATGGATATGGAGATAACGAACAGTATTCAATCAAAGTCCATTAAACAATACAAAATAGGAGCAGAGCGAACACGGACCTCCGAAATCTCAGAGGTTGGATCAGGTGCCATGGATGTGTGAACATCCTCTGTTGACTGTTCACACCCACCATATGCTCCTTGTCATGAAAGAAATATGGAAGCATGTTGATTTGAGTTTGTTCAAATCATACCCTCTCCCCTTTATTGAATGGTTGGGACCACATTTGTATTTAAACTTACCAAAAATCAAATGCTTTTAGCTTTTTTCACAGCCAAAGTGGTAAGTTGATCGATGTGATATTTGGGCCTCTTGTTTATGTATTATAGAACTTCAAAAAGGTTAAATGTTTTATCATGTTTTTCCGTAATTTTATGAGTAAGTAACTAAATATAAAATTACAACTGATTTTTTTTAATCATTTACAGAGAGAGATGGCAGCACTACCATTCAGATCTCAAACTCAAAGTATGTTATGTATTCAAAGCGATGCTGAAAAGTTGAACAATTATAGTGGAAATGACAATCTAACAGAAGTATCAGAAATGCATAACAATGTACACGTAAGTGCAGAGCCGCATATACATGTTAATGGAGAGCCGCATGAAAGTTACATCAGTGGAAAAGATTCGTCTCATTCAGATCATTTTCAGAAAGAATTTATGAAACAAAATGGTAAATTTTATAAATGTTCTGTGTGTGAAAAGACATTCCTTCGACCTAGTTCCCTGCAAGCGCACATGAGAGTCCACACTGGTGAAAAACTTTATGAATGTGTTGAATGTAAAAAGACATTCAGTGGAAATCAATACTTAAGGGTACATATGAGAGTACATACTAATTCTAGAAAATGTGATGTGTGTGAGAAGACATTCAGCAGACCTTATAACTTACAGGCTCATATGAGGATACATTCAGGTGAAAAACCTCATGAATGTGAGGTATGCGGAAAAGCGTTCGCTGTATCAAAATACCTACGGAGACACATGAGTAAACATACTGATGAGAAACCTTATAAATGTAATCTGTGTGAGAAGGCATTCAAACAATCTATTACTTTACAGGAACACATGAGGACACATACTGGTGATAAACCTCATAAATGCCACGTGTGTGGGAAGGCATTCTCTTTATCTGGATCATTTAGGCATCACATGAGGACACATACCGGTGAAAAACTTTACAAATGCGACGTGTGTGGGAAGCCATTTTCTGACTCCTGTAACTTACAGAAGCACATAGAGACACATAGTGTCCTGAGAAATGAGAAGCTTTATGAATGCAATTTGTGTTTAAGATTATATTCTGATTTGAGTTCTTTACAGCAACACATAAAGATACATACTGATAATAAACCTTACCAATGTGATCTGTGTGAAAGAGCATATTTGAAAAAATCGAATTTGGATATTCATATGAGGAAACACACCGGAGAAAAGCCTTATAAATGTGATGTGTGTGGAACAGCTTTTCCTTTAGCGTGGAGCTTATCCAGACACATGAAGACACATACTGGTGAAAAACCTTTTGAATGTGATGTGTGTGGGGAAGCATTCACTGAGTCACATACCTTACGCAGTCACATGAAGCTACACATCAGTGACGAACATGATAAATGAAAAGTTACACACAAGTAACAAACATAGTAAATGCGAAGTTACACACAGGTGACAAATATTGTAAATGTGAAGTTACACACAGATGACAAATATTGTAAATGTGAAGTTACACACAATTGAAAAATATATTGTAAATGTGAAGTTACACACAGATGACAAATATTGTAAAGGTGAAGTTACACACAGATGACAAATATTGTAAATGTGAAGGTATACACAGATGACAAATATTGTAATGTGAAGTTACACACAGATGACAAATATTGTAAATGTGAAATTATACACATATGACAATTATTGTAAATGTGATGTTATACACAGATGACAAATATTGTAAATGTGAAGTTACACACAGATGACAAATATTGTAAATGTGAATTCACACACAGATGACAAATATTGTAAATGTGAAGTTACACATAAGTGTCAAACATAATAAATGAGAAGTGTGTGTGAAAAGGTGTTTTCCTTGTCAAAAATCTAGAAGAGAAACATAGAGATACATATGATTGTGTAGTAAGTGGGATGGTATTCACTGCCCACTTTCATTTTGACGGTCGGTTACGGATTCCAATACTTACTTCAGCCAATAGAGATTTAGACGTTCTGAAAGACGATTGTGACATCACGTTCAAATTATACAAATCTATTTTGTGGAATAAACACTAATGTTCTTTTTCATGTAAACTCCAAAAAGTTTTTATTCAATAAATTATGATATCAATAGTCAATGTATTATATAACGTACTTCAAATATACTATTTAAATGTATGTATTAAAGTCCTTCTGGTCTCGCTACACTGATCATGACTGTGATGACATCACAGATGACATCACAGACTATTTTGATACGTACTTCGTCTGTTCTTGAGTTGTAGGTGAAACATATGGAGATAACGAATTGTTTTCAAGATCAAAACTCCATAAAACAATACAAAACAGGAGCAGAGCAAACACGGACCTCCAAAATATCATAGTGGGATCAGATGCCATTAAGACATGGTTGCATGTAAATTTGAAAAATAAAATTAAGCAAATGTTATCTAACCAAAATAGAGACACTTATTGTTGAGTGTATTAATAAATACCTTGTAATCTTAATAATTGTTGTAATACGTGTTGACCTCATATAATGTCCCTGTACACTTATACTGTAACATACAGGAATGACAAGGAGAACCCCTCGGAATTCGGAGTACACCAATATCCATTTAATTATAAATAACTATCTTTAACACTTGTAACTATTGTCAGGGTTATTTTGAAAAACGCTAGGAGCGTATTTGCTGTAGTTTATTCCGAATTTTAAGAGGTAAGGGGTTAACAAATTAATCATCAGATATAAATTATTGTTTTATAGATTGATTGTATACTGTTTAACGTCCGTCTCGAGGTATTTTCACTCATATTATTGTTTAGATATGATATCTTAATCTCTCAACTATCATTTTGCAAAAAAATCAGTTTATTTAAGGAGGAACAGGACCTTTCGCTGAAAAAATTCCTGTCAATGAATTTTTTTCGTATTTTTTATATTACTAATTTAATATGTACTTAACATTTTAAAACGGTCCAGTCATGGGATTTCTTGACTTATTTAAAAGATATCTCCCCACAAATACCGCATTGTTTAGAGTTTGTATGGAGTTTAGATACTTCATGTTTACAGGCCCATAACGGAGTCCATAATGCGAATATTTACGCACAAACGATGAATATGATAGATAACACTATATACTCAAATATTTCAGAATACTCGAAGTGTTTAAATTATCTGAAAGCATTTGTTTTAATTTTATATAGTATTTGGGTGGAACAATTTCTGCATTTTTCAAGGCAGCTTCATCGACAAAAACCTCATTTGGAAAAAATTCTGTCAATGAATATTTCTAAATTTACGATTGAATGTCAGTCCTTTATCGTAATTATTCACTGCAGAAATATCATAGGGTGAAGCTTACCTCAATATCGCACAGGACATCGATGAATTAGACGTAAGCATGGTAAAAACGCTTCAGGTTCGTATTTTCCGAGTGCGGGAAATCAATTGTGACGTCACACGAACACATAAACATTCAAAATTATCTAAATAGAGAGAATCTCTGCTACTAAACACGAAAAAATATTAATTAAAGAAAATTTGCTTCAGAAATTTATCACGATAAATTGACTGTGACCTGTTTATTATGAAATAAAACTGATCATGACGGTGTGTGTACTTGATCTCGCTGCACTAAGAATTCAAACACTACGTCTATGACGTCACTGACGTCAGACTGCAGGGTAAAGAGAAACAAATGTGTGGATTGGGCAACTTCACAATATCTAAAAGATGGCAAGATCTTTAAATTTTTTATTAATAGTAATTTCTAAAATTAATGTTTAAAAAACAATTTTAGAATTTAGAATAAAATTACACAAGAACTGTTGATTTCAACAACGTTTAACGTAGGTCGCGGGTTTGCTGACGTCATTAAAACTGGGTACGCAATTTATATGATTTGGGCGACTTTCTTGTGCACATCTGATTATGACGTCACGGTGAGAAAGGGAAAAATTCAGTGCATCATCTAGCTATAACTTTTGTAAAAATGGGTAGTTTAGTGTAACAATATTCATAGAACATGCTGAAGTTATACAAAATAATGAAGGCTTATTTTGATTCCAATGACCAACACTGAAAGTGTTAGAAAGCGTTTCATTATGTGTTATTAATCGCATCTTCTCGGGTCTATTCTGAGAGCACATGTACTTGTTTCGAAATAAATTTTAACCCTTGTATCATGTATAATTTATAAATATTAAATACATGTATTAAATGTGTAAAATTATAAAACAGGTTATCTAACTCTGAATTACACCCGATACCCCCTCCTCAGAAAAGCACTCATTTTAGTCACAGGCACCTGACTCTACTTATTTTTCTTTTAATAAAAGAAATATACACATACCTAATAATAAACGTTTATTATTAGGTATGTGCATTTTTTTTCTTATTAAAAGAAAAATAAGTAACGTCAGGTGCCTGTGATTTTACTGTACACTTTCAGTGGAAATGCACTAACAAACTGTTTATTACCATTGTCTTCTACGATAATTTATCTACACAACCATTTATGGCATGCATGTCTTTGTTTTCATTTATCTCCGTAAACAGCGTCAAAACTTTGCTCACCGATGGAAAGTTGAACTCAATATTTATGAAACGGTATGTGCTAATCTCGGACGAATCTATATACAGGTTGATCACAAATTAAAAACTGCTAAGGCACTACCGGGGTAATACTACTGAAATATACATTTTTGAGCGGCATTGACCTCTTGTAAATAACCACAGACACGTAGGATATGACCCCCTCCCTTCTTTCCATCTCTTACTTCCGAACGCGCGGGGGGGGGGGGAGTAAACGTTTTCCATTTTTTTAAATTTCAACTCCACCCTATATGTGCATGTTGATTTAATCGAAATATTTACTAATCGGAGGCACATAAAGAATTATATAAATGGAAATCTGAAAAGGAAGAAGAGGGTTTTTCAAATTTATCAATGTCTGCATATTCCATGATTATCTACGTGTTAGATAGTGATCATGCAAGTGAAGATAAAGTGAGGCAGACGTCGAGAATAAGAACAAATTGCAAGCTGTCTCTTCTTATGTATCAGTCGAAAACGAAAAACATGTATTTAAAAACAGCGTAAAGAGATAAAAGGGTTACATTATTAATAACATGCAATAGGTATTAAAAATCTAAAAAACAGAAGGGGGGGTCGATACTCACTAACGGCATGCGTTGTTTTTAGTTACATGTACATATTTTATTTGCTGCGTTGCTTTCCATATTCATTCAGTACAATTAATGTTATAGGTATAAATTGAAAGTCTAAGAACAAAATAAAATCTGCCTGTTGATTGCGCCAAACAAAGCGTAAAAACATATTTCGGGGTTGGGGTTGGGGGTGGTAGTAGTCCTTGACTTTTCAAACAAACTTAGATCACAGATCTGCGATTTCAACGAGGATGGGAAGTCTGCCTTTTCCAGAGGGGAATACAAGGTCACTTTTATTTTACAAATTCCGGCGAGAATCCGCGCATGAATAAAAAAAACGGAAACGGTAAGAAATAAACACATAAAGAAAAAAAAATATATATATATAAAACTAAAGGACTGATTGTTGGTTTACGCCTTTTACGTGAATTTTCACTAATATTAGAGGAAATAAGCTGAAAGGGAAAAATGTCTAATAGTTATTTTATTGAATTATTATGGTACTGGTCACTTGAAAACAGAAATACGTGAATTTCCCTTTTCTTAAAATCCGTACTTTTATTTTTTTTTTTTTTTTTTTTTTTTTTTTTTTTTTTTTTTTTTTTTTGTGCTCTGTATACCGGATCTATATTCACGACGCCAAGCATGACGTCGCGATATTTTATGACGTTTTTAAAAATGCTACATTTGTCAATATAAAAGCAATTATCTACAATTAAATTACGAAAAAATGAACCCGAACACATATTAATTTTTTTACATAGATTTATTTCAAATCAATTCTATTTTTAAATACCAAAGGATAAACAAATTCGTCTGCACGATTTAAAAGTTAATGATATTTTTTTAATCAAAACCTTGCCTGAAAACAAGCCAAAAACGACGTTTTTCCTATATAATTCAATAGAATACCGTTGTAAATGTAATTACAACAATGACATGTTTGGAATTCAATTACACAAAAACGGTGCAGACGAATTTTATAAAATTTTCAGAGAATGGAAATTAAAGGTAGAGAAATCATATAGGTAATTTTCATGGTATGTTTTCGAACACTTTTAAAAGCCCTGTAAACCCGCGACCTACGTTAACACGTATATCATCACCGATTATCGAAGCTAAGCCAAATATATATTATTTTTAATGAAGTTGCTCCTAAACAGATCTACAACAGAACTATTTTCGAAGAGAAAACTATGCGTTTATTGTTGAATCTTTAAAATCTTTGTAGCATTTCAATTTTTTATGTCCCCTTTGAAGAAGAGACTGCATATTGCTATGCTGTTATTATGCCCCTTAGACGTATAAAAATTCGAATTAGTTCGGGTAGGGGACACAAATGTTTTACAAACATCTCTTTTTTATATATAACTTTAATCATGCAACTTGACAAACAGCTGATGCAAGTAAAGTCGTTTAAGCCAGACAAAGAAGAGACTTATATATACATACATGCAAACAGATGAACCAGAATTCATCAGTATTCTGTTTAAAATTATATTGAATCCCATACTTGAAGCCATTTTCTACAACTATTTTAAAATAAATTTCCTATGGGCCTCCTTATCTTAGCTGCCTGAGTTATATATTATCTTAGTTGCCTGAGTAATATATTTTATGAAGCCCCATCAGGAGTGATTATTCTTGTGAAATGTGACCGAAGGCTTTTTTTCTTAATTAGGAAACATTAAGAAACTCATGAGGAGAAAATTAGGAGGGGATATAAAGTGTATGGGATGGCATTTGCTGAATTGCATATTTTGCAGAGTCTCATGAGGACACATACAAGTGATTAAACATTGAAATTATTTTGAAAGAAATAGAGACATTAAAATAACGTTCAGAGACACATGATGCCACATACACGAAAAATCTCATCTCTGTAGTGCGTGTGAGAAGGTATCCAACCAAAACATAACTTACATAGACACATGT